TTATGATCTAATTGGGTTCTCCTGGAGCACAACTTTGCTTGTTATTCAAATGGGAATAGTGGTAAAATTTTGGATTTACTTTTGCATGGGAAACACCTTATCTGCATTAACTTCAGTAATTCTTGTTCTTGTGTAAATTATATTACTTCCTTTTGACTAACATTAGCGACCTATGATTCCCCCAACAGAGGGAGGTTAGGTTATTCGGATTCACCTTTGCATGGGAAACAACTGATCTTCAGTAACTGGAATTAATGTTCTTGTGTAAATTAATTTAACGCCTTTTGACCAACGTTAGCAACCTATGGTTCCACCAACAGAGGCCAGAGGGAGGTTAGATTACTTAAAGTCCCTTGAAACAGTTATGTAAAATAACCAAACATTCTGCATAGTTTTTGGGGAAAAAAATTGAAAATTTTCATCTCAAAAGACATTAAAATTCCTTACAACTTCAACCAATTTTTTCTACACAAGATCCCCTAAGTTTCTTAGTAAAATAATTATAAAATTCTTGAATTAACCTTCAGTCATAACATCTTTGGGATAGCAATTAAATGCATAAAATTGATGTCACAATTTACATTTGTAAATATTGCCGTCAAAACACTCATCTTAAAAGAAGAACAGTTCCTAAATAAGGGAACGGTGAAGTTATAAATTTTACAATATTATAATTATTTTTTAGACTATTGGAATACTGATCAGTTTCATGTTTCGAGCAAAACATACAGAATATCAATTGATTCAAGATTTTAGTCCTGAGTCAAGTCTATGACTAAAAGAAGAAAGAAACCAAAGCTAGTTACTAAGATTATAGAAAATGAAAACTTAGAACATGTGTGTAGAAAATTTAGCTATTGAATGTCCAATAAATGTCTTTAATTTACAGTTTGTTATTCAATATCTTTTAAGTGTTGAAAATGAAAATCGTATTGGAAAATTAGGAATTCTACCGAACATAAAATAGATGGGTAATTAAGAGTGGAGAGTATGCTAAAAGATTGGCATACTAAACTAAACAAAATATACTATTGCATATTTCATTGAAAATGATAAATACTAAAACATAGTCAATTGTATAGTAAAGTGAGCCCTGCAAGATAATGGTATAGGCAGGACTTACTGTAGATTCCACAACTCCTTCTATATTTACCCATTGTCGGACAAGATTGAATTTAATCATTTGCATGCCCCCAATGTAGTTCTAAAAACATAATAATTGGCTTTTCATGTTAAATTGCAAATAAATATAGTACCTCTGTAATGTATAACATCTATAAACTATAATGTTTAATATAACCTTGAATCTTTGATATGTAAATTATGAAAACTTATTTCTTACAAAACTTCAATAATAATACAAGGCATAAAAGTGAACACTAAACAATTTTATATCCAGTGCCCAGAGTGCCAAATGCATGCTTGTAGTGTACTATGAAATGTGGATGATCAATGAATTTTGAATAGAAATATTAGGGCTAGATCCCTCCCTAGAATTTAAAGTTCTAACAAAATTATTTTCCAAAAAGTTTAAATTATAAAAATCTGACATCTGAAAATGGGTCAAAACAAATTTTTAGTTTGTTACAGGAAAAAGTAGTAATTCAGGCATTGTGCCTGAGGTTTCAGGGAGTTAGCATAAAAGCCCGATTTTAAACCTTTAGAGAGGGCTATGGGTTTTTAGGAAAAGAAAATTTCAACAGGCTCAAAACCAATATTTTTGAGTTATGTAAATAAGGATAAGTAGCTATAAAACATTTTTTAGCTAAACCTCATTTTTTTGGTTGAAGTTGTTGTTTTTTTGTGTTGTTGATTTTTTAATTTAGAAGTTTTTCTTAATTTAGTTTTATTTAATTTGGTTTAAGACAACAAATTAATTAATAAAATGCTTAATCAAATTTGAGGATTCATTGAAATAAAATGTTTTGAGTAAATAAATTAATTTTTTATAAAAGAAAATGCAAGATTTAACATAATTCTCAGTGAAACCCCTCCTCTATCTAGTAGATGCAGTATTCAAAACTTGCCTTTGTACGATTAAAGTTCCTTCAGTTTTTGTTTACCCATCCTGAGGTGTAAGAAAAATAAAGATTTTTTTATGAAACTAGTTTTTCCAGTTAGACATTAAACCGGGTGTTTGGATGTCTGATGGTTTGTTCTTATCTGAAAGTTGAATGAAAAGTGCCCTGTTTTATTTTAATTGTTAATACTAAACATTTTCATTGTGTATTTAAAATATATCTGGCATTGTCATACTATTTGCCTCGTTAAACAATGGCAATCGTCTACAAGGAAAGGTTAGAAAAAATTCAGATTATTCGTTTTGATAAAAAACATTTTAGACAACATTACTAAAAATTGAACTTGATTGTCAAAAAATATTGTTTACGAAAATGATAGTTTTTCAATTTCAAAATAGCGTTTTTTTCCTAATAACAAAACAATCTTTTTAGAAAAAAATTAAACACAAAATGATTAACAACCCTACCTACCACTGCCTCAAATACTAAAATACTGGTTCACCATTTTTATCTCCAATTAAATGGACTGTTTTGCATAATTTCAAGTGACCTTCCATTTAAAGATGGATATCCACAATTCGCAACAGTACCTTTATATTCTTTAAATCTAGATTTAGTTTCCTGACAGGGTTTCCTCAACTTTTTATTAAACAATTTGGCTTTTCGTTTTCTCGATATTATAAGTGCTTTAGACATCCAGGGGTTAAAAGGTCTTTTTTTTCTGGAAGGATTTACATTTTTTCAGGGAATGAACATTCAAAACAGTTATCAATTGACTCAAAAAAATTATTAAATGCACTGTCCTGATCTCTATTCAGAAGAACATTTTCCCAATTTTTATTTTCTAACATTTTTTTTAATTTAAAATAGACTCAGAGTCAAACTTTCGAGTTTTCTGTTGGGACTTTTTTTCTATGAATTTATCTTTAAAATGTTGAATATAGAAAACAGGAAAATGATCAGAAATATCTGAAACAATAATGCCAGAATCAAAACTATCATCGGCAATGTTAGTGCAAATATGATCTAAAATGGTTGCTGAATTGTGACCTATTCTAGTAGGAAGAGTTATAAGAGGCAAAAAACTATTCTCAAGAAGTGTATCTAAATAAGTCTCTTCATCATAGTATTGACTAAAATATCCCACTGTAAGGGGGGGATGGGATATTTTTAACCAATGACAAAACATTCATGTTATCTCATTGTTTTTTTGTGCGCAAAACAATGTAGTAATATTCTTCTCTTAGGCACTTCTACGAGGGGTAAGTGTCTCTGCTTCTGGAATAGTTTTAGGTAAACTCAAAGAAAATTAGTCTCAATTGTTATATGATTTGTAGAATTGGACAAAACGTTGACTAACGGAAATTTTTTATTTGATTTACTCTAATATTCTGAAGAAGAATTCATTTTAAAGAGGAGGAAAAATTATTTGCTCCTGTAAGTCTCATTTTATCTTTTAAGGTTCAGCTTATGTTACTTCTTTCATAATAACCCCATTTACCAGCTATTTTGTAAGTAAAATTTTACCTTCATAATCTTTAGTTTAATTGGTAGTTTGTCTATTTGTCTTTATTTTCAGATATCACTTCTGAGTGCACAGAAGGTGTTTGCAATAGGATCTGTTTTGGGGGGTTTAGGAAATATTCTGTTTGGGTAACAATAAACTTTAAAGCTTAACCAACTCCCAATTAAAGTGGATTCTGTAAAATCTTTGATGGCAAAGTCTCTGAAAAAGTCATGTAAAGGGATAAAAATAGGAATTTTTGATAGTAAATTTTTCCATCTCCCTCACTGTACATTACAAAATTTCAAATTTGTTATTTGAGAAATAAATCTCTTGGAAAAAAACATAAATTTTACTATATTGCAGTATGTTTTTAATTTAGATTCATCTGTAGAATACTTCTTATTAATTTTAGATTTCTTGACAAAATTGACTCATCTGTAGAATTTTTTTCATTTTCTCTGTTTTCTCGGACAATTGGTGCTTTAGGAGAGGCTGTTGTTCTAAACGCTGCCTACCCTTTAGGTATATGATTGTACTTTTACTTAAAATTATAATATGTTATAGTCAAAAATATAAAAAAAATCATTGCCAGTTTTTTGGAGTTCTCAGAATCCAGTTGTATTTACTTCTTATCCTCTAATAATTTTAGCAACACAAATGTTTTCAGTGCAACATAGAGGAAAAGTTGTGGTAAGAATTATTTCATTTATTCAGTTGCTTTAATATTTACAACCATCGGCAATACCATTAGTATTTTCTATACACAATTATTGGTAGATATGTGCTTTATAAAAATTGTTAATAAATATGTTTTCATATAATCATTAGTCAATCAAAATTGATTCCAGGGAACACTGGATTTCTTCTTTGGGGTTGGGGGAATGGCTGGTCCCTCAGTAGGAAGCTTATTGTACAGTATTTCTGGTGGTTTTGCTCTCCCCTTTTGGACAACTGGCATCATAATGGTTGTGCTGGGAGCTAAGATGCTTTCCGGGAAGAAAAAAACACAGATAGAAGCTTCTACTACTCTTGAACACTTGTAAGAAAACATTTTTACAATTTCATGAACATTTTCTTTAAAGTTCAAGATACAATTTCTTGGATATACAAATATATTTCATTGAAGCATTTTGAAAAGACTTATTGGAAGGAGATTTCTCAGTTTTATATTTTATCTAACATAATCTGGCAAAAAGGAACTTGATGAACTATATATTAAAGTTAGTAATCTGTTCAGGGAATCTTCACCTTGGAAGAAATTGTTGAAATCTTCCGGTTTTATTGAAAACATCGCTTCTGTATTATTTGTTTTGGCACCAGCTACTAAATGGCATTCTGCATCCTTTGAACCGCATTTTATAGAATTGGTGAGCAAATTGTGAATGTAGGTAAATTTTAAATTGTAATAAGCAAAAAGACGGGTAATTTCACATCAATCATCAGTCTTTACTTGAAGAAGGCAGGTACAACCTTACTGTTACTAAAATTACCATTAGTATTTTCTGTCAAATCTTAAAACAATAACTATTACTAATCCTTACTTCTTTAACCTTAAACAGACTGGGGAGGGGGGGGGGGGCATTTGGCTCCCTCCCTCTGGTTTTTTTTTGTCCTAGCACTCACATTTTTACATCTTGTGACTTTTAATATATAGTAATTTAAAGGATATTTTGAAAAAAAAATATTTTTTTTAATCTATAGAATAGGGTACGCCCAGGGCAGAAAAAAATCTAAAATAGCCCATAACTTTTTTGTGACTAAAGCTACAGAAACATGTGTAACACTTTTTATATTTGTTTGAACTAAAAAAATATTTTTTTCATTTTTTTACCCTTTTTTAGGCATATTTTTTCATCCTCCCTAGCACCCAAACTATTAAAGTTATCGTCAATTTTTTTTTCTTTGAGCTGGCCATGAAAAATTCGGCTGTGATTATGCATTTCAACCCTATACCTATTCTCTAAGGCCTTTTTCTAGGAAGGAGTCGCCAAAGGCCCCCCCGGCTATACATAGATCCAAACCCCCAGCCTTTAAAGAGTTAAATGTACCTAACTAATACAAAGGAATTGAGTTTTTGTAACAAACTCTGGTTTTCTAATACCTATATTTTTTCCACCTGATGGTGTAAACCTTTGATATTTCAAACTTAGTTTCTTTCATCTAACAGAATTTATATTTTGAAATATCTAAGGTCTACGGCATTTGGTTGCAAAGATTTAGAGATGAGAAAATTATGGTTTGTGACAAAGACTCAATTTCTTTGCAGAAGGAAATGTTTAGTATGGAATTTCCCCCGAAGATGTTGGATTGATGTATATGGCAGAATTTGTGACCTATGCTATTGCAACTCCTGTATCTGGATTTGTTATTGATTGTGGATTCCCTTTAAAATGGATGCTTTTAGTTGGACATGTTGTGGTCATTTTTAACTCTAGAAGGTATTTATATCCCTGATAATGCAAAAATTTCCTTTCTAGATCCTAAAACTCAAGAAAAAATACTAAATGTCTCAACTTAAATTCCTCCGCTTACTCTTCCATACTTGTTAACATCCGAATATACAATTGAAATCATTACACAAAATTCTTCATTTTTGTTCGGTCCTACTTCTCAGGAAACTAATATAATACCCAGCTACTTTTCTGTAGAAGATTTAACTCTTATTCAATACTTCCTTAAACCTTATTATAATCCTACATATCAAATCTACTTTTCATTGGGTTCCACCTTGTTTCTTAGCTTCATTGTTCTCTTTTTCTTTTATACAAACTTTTTGTCCCAAAATCTAATCTCAAAAAACAATCTAAATATCTTGCATCCTTTCATAAATACAAACCTACAACTATCATTAAGATTAATAAATAATGTTGCAGGTTTCGTGCAGTTCCCTGCTCCTTCAAACCTCTTCACTCTTCTGCGTAAACAACTTCAATTTAAATATCTAATATTAAAATATAATTTTGCAACTCCTTGTATTATGACCTTGTGTATAAAATTTTTTTTTTGGTCTAAAAACGCGTTTAAAAACAAAATAAAAACAAAAATTAAAATAAAATGCACATCAATATTACTATTTAAATCTAATTTTAAGTTGAACCCTGTGCTACGTAACATTGCAATCTTTTATGTTTGTTACTGTATCTTGTCTCTTGTAACGTAATAAATTGATAATTGATTATTATGAATGTTTAAATGGCATTTTTTTTAAAAACCATGTATTATATTACTTTGCTACGTTGTATGTTTGTTTCTAAGATTTGTGTCTTGTTCGCAAAATAAATTGAAAAACAAATTACTCATTTCCAAAAATGAAAGATAATCGCTTATAAACATTGTCAACTACCCCTTCAGAATTTTAAAATTTAACAAATATTTTCTTAATCCGTGGCAGATTTGTTCAAATAAAAATTCTACTAAATTCTACAAACTTTAAACTCTGTAATTTTATATTCCCAGTTTTACTTCATCTGTGCGTCCACCTGCGCATAAACATTCCCGACTAATAAACAAATCTTAACAAATCTGCGTTTATTAATTTCACATTAATTCTCACTCTTTCATTGTAAACTTTCTTTCCAGGATAGGTATTTAACTCTTCTTCTGATGCCTTGACTTTAGCCGCTCACTCCTTCTCACATTCCCATCCTTCTAACCTTCAAAAGAAATCCAGAACCTTCCCAGCACATTTAATCTCCACCTCTTACCCTTGAGACCTCCGTCATTACTCCTAAGCAATCAAAACCTAACACTCCCTGTCCTAAACCTCCTAAGTCTACACCTTTTTTTCAAATCTGTTGATTCCATTCCAGTCCTCTATCAACCTGTCCTAGAGGCGTCCGTGTCACAACATATGATGAATGCTATCATTGCTTCCCACCAAGTGTTACCACAGGTTATTTCTTTAACTGGTTGTAAATCTTTCATTTTCTCACAAAAAAACTGAAAATCATTTGTTTTTACAGCAGAAATATATTATGCATGTATATTTCAACTTCTCCTTTTCAACTATTTCCTTTGAATTTAAATTTAGCAAATATTTTCTTAATCCGTGGCAGATTTGTTCAAATGAAAATTCAATATCCAAAAAATTTTTTCCCTACAGTTTAATTCAATATTTCCAGACTCCATCGGCGCCCCTTGATAAGCCTTCTTTAAAATACTCCCATAATTTTATACTCTTTTCTTTTACTTATAACTTCACTAAATTTGTCAATAGGGAGTAATGCACTTACGTTACAATTTCGTCATTCCTCCTAAGCAATCAAAACCTAACACTCCCTGTCCTAAACCTCCTAAGTCTACACCTTTTTTCAAATCTGTTGATTCCATTCCAGTCCTCTATCAACCTGTCATAGAGGTGTCCGTGTCACAACATATAATGAATGCTATCATTGCTCCCCACCAAGTGGAACCATAGGTTATTTCTTTAACTGGTTGTAAATCTTTCATTTTCTCACAAAAAAACTGAAAATCATTTGTTTTTACAGCAGAAATATATTATGCATGTATATTTCCACTCTTCCTTTTCCAACGATTTCCTTTGAATTTTACATTCAACAAATATTTTCTTAATCCGTGGCAGATTTGTTCCAATGAAAATTCAATATCCAAAAATTTTTTTCCCTACAGTTTAATCCAATATTTCCAGACTCCATCCGCGCCCCTTGCTAAGCCTTCTTTAAGATACTCCTATAATTTTATACTCTTTTCTTTTACTTATAACTTTACTAAATTTGTCAATAGGGAGTAATGCACTTATGCACAATTCTAACTTACTTAAAATATTAACAATTAACATGCCCACACCTAACTTAGCAATTGTTCAGGCATAATCCAATCCTAAATATACCTTACAAACAGCCTTACTTAAATAATATTTTAAAACAAGTTTAAACAATTAATATTGTTACAGTTTAAACTCTTAAACTTATTTTTCTATCAATGCCCAACACTATTGTAAAAAAAAATTACATTATATTGTTACAGTTCAAACCTTTGAAAATTATTTTTCTATCAATGCCCAGCACTATTGTAAATTATATAATATTGTTACAGTTCAAACTCTTAAACTTATTTTCTATCAATGTCCACCACTATTGTAAATTATACTATATTGTTAAAGTTCAAACTTTTAANATTGTAAATTATATTATATTGTTACAATTCAAACTTTTAAAATTATCAATGCCCAATACTATTGTGAATAACATTATGTCAACACTAGTTATTATTATTCATCTAACATATTTGTACTTTAGAAATCAGCAGAGACTTCTTAATGATGTTCTTATCTCTTCACCTGAGATGCTCCACCAAAGAATTACCAGTGTGCATCAAAACAGAAGTCAACAAAAGATCATGGTCCAGCCTTCGGTGCTTCAAGTCATTTACGATTACATCACAAGGAGATGCCCCAGCCCCTATCAAGTCAATAATTGATAACTGAAAGCATCTTTACTCAAGAAAATACACTGTCCTCGTTATCCGGAATGGTAGCAACCTTTGCATTACCTTTATTGGAGATTCCGAGATCCAGTATAGAGAATACCGTAACGGCAGTTGAACAAAACTTACATGCTCCGCCTCAAATGAGCTGTTTAACCCTCAAAATGAAGAATTCAAAGAACTACTATCCATGCAGGAGAGTGAGATAACCTCATTAAAATCTTCATAAACTATAACATTTCACTGGAACAGGAACACTTTATGGCACAAATATTCACGACTCGTAACTCATGTTGCGAAATACAGAAATATCCTACATCGGGAACCGAGACCGAAGACTCATCTTCCGAAGAAGAAACCGAGAATGACAGTGGAACTGATACTGCAAGAGACCACAATAACAACACTGTTCAAATCATCACCTTCGGAGAGTACTCTTTTGGAGTCACTCTGACTCCAGAAGGTGATATTGAAGAAGTAAGAAGAATAACGAATTATACCAACTAAGAGCTCGTTTAAAATCTGCGACTCTCTGCCTCCCTTCAATTGGATCAGTTTCTGTTCATTTTCTTCCATTCAACAATATCTGCCTGCAGTTTTCTCTTATCTGAAGTGATCATCAAGGCAAATGCTTGTTAGCTGGGACAGTATGTTATAATCTCCAAGATTATAATTCTAACGATATTTTCTATCAAAACAACTGTTTTGCTCCTACTGGAGATGAGATAAATGACAGAGAGGATTCTCATAAGATATTCAGCATCGATGGAGACCATTTCCTTTTGTTACTCTGGACAATCAAGAATCAAGAAAATTTTACTTAGTTTACAGAAATATATGTTTTGTATTCATTGTACATGTTTTCCCCCTTCCCCTCCTATTCTATCTTTATAATCTCTGAACTATAAATTGAGCTCATTCTTACAATTTCTACCTTCACAAGCCTTATATTTTTATCATCATTGTGCAATATGCATATTCTAGAACGTTCTCTCTTTTACAAACCATGAAATATGCCCTAGTTTTTTCATCATCATTATGCAATACCCGGCCGTATAAAAAGGCCACTTTTTCCTAATAGATTCAGTCTGGGGTTCACAGGCAGAACTACTACTACTCTTCTAACCAGGTTCCTCTATATATTTATATTCCCCTAAACCCTCCCTCTCTAAAATCTTCTTGTTTTTAACTTAACCTTTGTTTTTAACTTAACATTTTTATGCATATTTTTATACTTGTAAATTTTTCTTATAAACTGGGCTAGTTTTAAACTTATGTATTTTTATGCACCTTTCGTACTTGTTCGAATTTTGTCAAATTTTTAACTCGCAAATATTATATGTCAATAAATCAAACTTTAATTCCTGTTATTTAATTCTGCGAGCACACTGTTGAATATTAGAAGTCTTATAATTTCATTAAAAGGTTTACTTGATACTTAGACTGAAATCTATCAAATTTTAAATTGTTTGCTTTGATTCAAATATTCGAAAGAACTTTACATACTCAACATAGTTGAGTAAAGTAGTCTCAACATTTAGTAGTAATTAAGTAGTAGAAGAAAAGAATCACAATATAAAGTGGTGCAAGAAGAAAGTAATCCCAACATCAGTTCCATCAAGACTGTGAAAGTGAAAGCACTGATACATCTTTTGTTCCATCTCAAAAGGGTAAAACCCTTTTAATTTTTTTAGATTGGTTTTGCACTACAAATGATTTGTTTTTTCTTTTTGCAATAGTTTTTCCTGTGATTATCTATAAAACCTAATGTAAGATAAATTTTGTACTTCTATATGTTTTTTTTTGTTATATTTTGTATTTGATATATTTTTTAAAATAGGCCCCCACACAGTAATTTTTTTATCCTAAACTCATTTATGCCCCAACTCTTAAACTCAAATTCCACCACAACATTTTTCAATATAAATTCATATTCTTTTTTTTGGCCCCTTTCTTAAAAAAATGTCCCAAATTGGATTTTTTAAATTATACTCACACATTCTTATTCAAATTGCCCCACCTGCATCAAACTTAAATTTGCGCCCATTTTTAGAATGCCTTCAAATATTTATAATTTAAATTTATCTTTATCCCCAAATGTTTTATATTAATAAACCCAACTTTAATGTAATTAATTACTCCAAAATTTAAGAAGTTTTGCGCCCAACCCTTTGATTAAAAAAGCCTCTTCACATTCTTTGAAAATTACCTTAAATAAAAAAATTGCCCATTAACAAATTTGCCCAAACTGAAAAAAGCCCCCAAAACAAATATTGCCCCTAAAACATAGATTAAAGATTTCTCCAAACTGGAAATTGCCCCCCAAAATAGTAAAATTTGCTGTGAAATATACAAATTTAAGATTTTTCCTACCCAAACTTGCCTCAAACTGAAAAGAATGCCCCTAAATAACATTTTTTAGTATATGTTTCAGAAGTAGTTTTATCATGATTGAGTATAAAAGATATTTTTCTGTCCNCCCCAAAAATGTTAAGGGGTTGTGAGGCTAATGGTCAGATATCAATAATGTTTTAAAACAAAAAGTTCAATCTAAAGTTTAATATGATTATATAGAAAGCTGCTCTATGATATGATGAACCAATATCAGTTGAGCAAAAGTATTCTTACAGGTATAATAAAACATGTATTCATAACATTTATTAGAGAAAAATATTTATTGATAGATTCCTAACATTTTTTTCTTTAATTAGTGGTTATAACGGGAAACATTTCAAGAACATCTTTTTAAACTCCACCAAGTTAGAACCAGCAAACTTAAAATTCATTTAATTTGCAATAATTGCAACTGCAATGGAATATTTCTAGACATGAAAGGCCTTTTTTATGCCTACTGCAGAAACTATAGAAAGCCACTAAACTGTATTTTTACTGGTTGCCACGTACATTTTCAAATCTTTCGAGCAATGTATAATTTCTACCAGCCAAAATCAAACTTCTGATGATAAAAAACAAACCATAAACCACATCTCTACATTTGGATAAAATTAATTTAGGCTGTTTTCAAGAGATGCATTGAAATTCAGACTTTTCTTTGATCAGTGCTGCAGTCTTTTTTGCCTCACTACCTCATTTACACTTCTTTGAAGCCCTAGTTATGTACATTTTATGACTATAAAGTGCTTTTCTAGTTCAACTGTTAAGAAGTAAATTTGCCAAATTCTCATTAAATTTTAAGTAAAAGCTTTCAACCTGTGAAGCACCGTTAGCTGCGCTTATAAAGGAGCATTATACAACTCAGAAACCGACGTTTTTTACTTATTGAATTTATTTTAACATTTGAGTAATTTTAAACTTATATTATCCATTTAAACTTATGAAAGTTTTTGACAGATATTAATAAAACTTATGACACAATTTGCATGGCATAAAATGAAATCATTGTAAAACCTATGTGGACAATGAAAAAGTCTCCTCTGCCACCATCAAAGATAAATTTAAAAATCTACAGAACTCGACACCCCCCACCCCTAAACTGGAAACGGAACTTGTACACTGTACAGTTGGAGCCTGTCACACCTCCAAGTGTACACAAAATACCTGTGCACTCACTTTATTATCAGTCTACTTGTAACCTTGAATCAAAGAAGAACTAAAATCAAGGATATGGTCCCAGATGAGGAGTGAAGTCCAAGATGTTCTCTCTTGGTTCTTGGAAGATGGACACCGAGATTATGCAGTAAAAATTGAACCTGACTAGAACAAACTAAATTCTTAGATATCTGCGTACAATTTTTGTATAAAAAATCTCGTCGAAAAAGGGTTTGAAATCACCCTGTTTTTAAGCTTAACTAGGTTTTACAATCATAAGTTAAAATTACTTTTTTGAAAGTTTTAATATTATTGTTTAAAGGGACTAAAGACATTATTATAATTAACCCTCCAATCTTATAAAACTGGGTTTCCATGAAAAGCAAATTGCGCGCTATTTATACTGTGGAACATATTTGCTTGCAAGTTGCGAATTCCGAAACGCCTGAATGCAAAATTCCAAGGTTTTGAAAATAGAAAGAATAAGCAATTTTGTGCATGAAAAATCTGCTCAAATAAAGGATGAATGGACGATCCTTGTTTTTTTTATCTAAAAGTTGATGGATTCATATATCCTGCAGAGACAGTAAACAAGTTTGCAGAATGTAACACTATTAAGGAGTTGCAGCTAGGGACTTAAATATGTATTGTGCAGGTTTATAAACACACCAACTAATTTTGCATGTCAGAATTTTTTTTGACTGTTGTAGGTCTAGGAATTACAAAATGACCGCACTGGTTAGGTTTATGCCCTTCTTGCTGCTAGCAGTTGCTGTAGAGGGAAGGTAAGCTTATAAACACTCTTTACGTAGTGCCAAGTAACCGTCCATCCATTTAAAAAGTAACCATGAATGATTTACAATGATACACTTAACATCTATATCTCAGTACCAAAAAGAAGAATTTTTTCTCGTTTTTTAGCAAAATCTGTTGTTCTTTGTTTTGGTGCAAAAATCACTTTTTTTAAACGCAGTTAAAAATTAACAATTTAGAAAGAAAACAAGAATTATCCATAAATGTTTACTTTGGCACAGGTTTTTAGGATACTGTTGTTAATTGGGCATAAAACTCATTAAATGGAAAGTCACAAAATCGCAACACCATGCAGTCCCTTTAAACATAAATAAGTTTACACAAACATAATAACATCTGTGATATTGATATCAATTTTTTTCTACAAAAAAAGCTAAAAATCTGAATTATCAAATATTTGTATAGAATGTATAGAAAGAACGGACATATTTATAAAACAACATGGAATCAAGCAGTTCTCAATCAGGAAAATAACAATTATAAATCATACACATTATATAAACATTAGATGACAAGTTCTATATCGTCTAGGCTCCATTATTTCTAAAACACTATTTTTGTTTAGTATAACTGAGAATCATTTTAACACCGAAAACTATTAGGCTGTCATTTTTTTAACATTAAAAATTGACATGATATTGAGAAATTTGTCCAGATTCCAATTTATCAAAACAAATATATTTTGAAAACACAAAGAGTAAAATTGCATTTTGAAAAGCTCACATTCTACATTTTTTTGGTAAATTCTTTCTCAATATTCTCTCCATTATCTGAAATCAAAGACAATTTTCATGTCGTCTCCTAATTCCCATGGTTATTGGGACACCCGTATAATAACTGTGCAAAAATGGTAAAAGATACCACAAAAAATTATGCCACGTGTAGACTAAGGGGTGAACTCGGTGAACATAAGTACAGACGATATCACATAACCACATTTATTAGGATCAGTGAATAATGACATTATTTTCAGAAAATTTCTGCAATTAGTCTTTAAATTGTTAAAAATTAGATAACAGAAGATGGTCCTATATGCTGTGCAGGCCTCTGCAATATGAAGAAGGAACACTGCAACTCTTTTCATTACAACACAACTTCAAACATCTGCTCTTTGGCAAATGTAAGAATTATATTTGCTTTTTAATTAGAAAATATGGTTGTATTTGGTCAAGGGTTTCCGGAGGAAGCAAACTATTGCGCAAAATTTTATATAATGTTTGTATTTGTGATAACTTTTCCTCAGGGTTTCCAATCGCAATTCCTTTGAACGGAATTGCGTGTAGTTTGTAGGGTCGCAATTGCGTGCAAGTAAAATCCACTTGCGTTGGAAACCTATACAGTTTTCCTGGGATTTTTTACTCAAAGTCAATTTTTCAACTTTGGCAATTTCTTTTGCATAATTTGGGCATTTTTTTTGCACAGAAGCTATTTTCACTCAAAATTTTTATCCAAACTTTAATTATAATGTTAATAAAATGTTCAGTTGACCAAACTTGAAGATGTGATTATTGCTGAAAATGGTATTGATGTCTTCATGGATCTGGAATTCCTGAAACACCTGGTGGGTTTAATCCTTATCCTATCACCCTTTATCCTTTTCATCCTTTATCTATTCATGTCTTCATTTTTATCACACTGACCTTGATGTAGAGATTTGTCAGTTTTGTGAACAAACAAAATGAGTCATACTGATCTTCAGAAAATTAAGCGATGATGAAAGAACAAATTGGATTGTTGGGATAAATTACAAAATAAAAGTTTTAAAAATATAAAACTCCAGAAAAAAACCATTACGCTGAACTAACATTTTAATTAAACAACTGTTCAGTTAGTTAAAAAATAAAAAGTTGGAAAACCAAAATAATTCTGAAAATAAATGAATTCAAATTATTTCTGAATTACTTTTAAAAAACGAACGAAATGTTTGTTTATTGAATGATGAAAAAACAAATTGATAATAAATCAGTTTCCATTTTTTGCAAGAATTTTCATTAGAGTAGGGATAGGCATCATTTTGGTATTTATTTTTCAATGCTTTAAAACAAACTATTGATTTTCAAAACAATTGTTTTGTATTGTTTCAAAACAAAAAACTATTGAAAAAATCGTTTGGCAAAAATCTAAAACAACTTTTAAATTCAAAACAGAAAATGAAAAAAGATTCTGAATTTTATATAAATATATAACATGTGTATAGCCATACAAAATTGGACCGTTTTGACATTATTGGATACAAAAAAAACAGATAGACAAGCAAAGATTCATAAATCTATATTTCTAGGTGTCTGAGTGCCCTGCAGATAAGCCATACCCATTTGACAATCGGAGCAAATGTTGTGAGGTATTCTAATTCAGATTATGCTCTCTGTCTCAGGGGACATGATATCATGAATATCAAGTTCAAGTTACGCAACTTCACTTTGTGAAGAACAGAACAGATGATGTTTAAATGACGGGCGGATTTTTGGTAATGTCAATTTGGTAATGACAATTTGGTAATGACAATTTGGTAAGATCACAAAAGTGACAAATAGGTAATGACAAATTGGTAACTACAAAAAAGTGTCAATTTGGTAATGACAAATTGGTAAAGTCATAAAAGTGACAATTTAGTAATGACAATATGGTAACTACAAAAAAGTGACAATTTGTTGATAAAAGTTAAATTTAATTCAATTTAATGTTTAATAATTTGCTGTTTCTCACATTATTTAGGGTTAGGTTAGGTTTTGGGCCGAGCGCTGCGGCTAGAATGGGCTAGGGGGCCGAGCGCTGCAGCCTATTACAAATTTAATAATGTGCTGTTTCTCTCATTATTTTGGGTTAGGTTAGGTTAAGACAATTTCTGGGTGAGCTCTATGGCTAGAATGGGCTAGGGGGCTGAGTGCTGTGGCCTATTAAATGTTAAATAATGTGCTGTCTCTCTCAGTATTTTGGGTTAGGTTAGGTTAGGTTAAGACAATTTATGGGCCGAGAGCTGCGGCTAGGGGGTTGAGTGCTGTAAGCTATTAAATGTTAATTAATGTGCTATTTCTCACATTATTTTGGGATAGGTTAGGTTAATACAATTTCTGGGCCGAGCGCTGCGGCTAGGATGGGCTAGGGGCCAAACACTGCATCCTCTTAAATGTTAAATGTTGATTATAAAATGGACAGTTTGGTAACTACATATAAAAAGTAACATTAATAACTTCCTAACATTGACATACATAAAGTACGTTCTTGTTGAATCTATTAAATCCTTCTGAATCTTGTAACATTTTGCCACCCCTAGAAGGGGTGATAAATAAGTAATTCATGAAAATATTGCGACTTTTACAATTATTTTTGGCGCATTTCTTTTGTGCAGCAATAAAAGATTCCTAGAATAAATAATCTGCAATTGAATATAAAACTAAAAATTAAACAATTTTTACATAATGTCACTTTTATGACGTTACCAAATTTGTATTACCAAATTGTCACTTTTTTGTTGTTACCAAATCGTCATTACCAAATTGTCCTTACCAAATTGTCACCTTACCAAATTGTCATTACCAAATTGTCATTACCAAATTGTCATTACTTGTTGTTACCAAATCGTCATTACCAAATTGTCCTTACCAAATTGTCACCTTACCAAATTGTCATTACCAAATTGTCATTACCAAATTGTCATTACAAAATTGACATTACCAAAAATCCGCCCATCGTTTAAATATTTAATCATGAGTTAATAAATTTATAAAAATAAAAATTTCCTTTTCAAAATTCAATTATAGTCTTAATTAATTTTTCCAAAAAATTTTTTTTTCCAAATTGATAACTAAATTTATAAAAATGAGAAATGAAACCATTTCTAATTATTCCAGTTGCATCAAACGGGGTTAGGTGATTATTTATATATAATGAAGAGGACTTTTGATATCAATTTTGATTTTGTCAAGATTTTATACAGCATTGATCCATGAAAACATGGAATCAAAGAGAATCTGTCAATCAAAAAGCTTTTCTTTATTTTGTTGCAATTTTGTAACTCGGAAAAAGCTTGTAAACAATTAAAACTTGAATATAAAATTAATCTTTATTATATTGATGTAATCACCTACCCCTGTATGAAAATATGTTTAAGGAGAACCTAGAGGAAAACTATTCATCCAAGTTTCCCGGAGTACTAACTCAAAAAAGCAAATCTTGCAGGTAAGAAGCATTAAAAGACCCAAAAATTAATTATTCCACAATAATAGAAACTTTTTACTTAAGTTGACATTAACAGGGTGAAAGAAATTAAATTAAAATAAACCCATCACATTTCATGGGAACTTGCATTAACAAATTTTATTTCTTATTCACAGCATGACCTTCACTTTAGCACCAATGAAGAATCTAGAAAAGGTGTAAAATCTGTAAATATCCTTCTATGTCTCTCTGCAAAATGTCACTTTGATAGAAAACTTGAAAATGATCAATTTTAGTTAGATAATACGATTATCTTATACATTTTAGGTCAGATTAAAGTTTAAAGGTTACATTTTGTGAATGAATAATACACAACATCTGTGCTTTATGATATATTTGTATTACAATATCATTATAAAAATATTTTTGTTTTAGTGGAACCAGTGTGGCATGTATATCAGGAATATGCAGAAGGAGCAAAACTGTTGAAACAGTTAACCCATTTCATGTATTGAACTTTAAATGCAAATCTTGATTATAAAAGTCCAAAAATTGGAGTTGTGGTGTCATCAAAATTTTTGATATTAAATCCAATTTTAAGAATATGAGTTAACCATATCTGAATCACTTAGGTTCGATGGTTTTATTTGAGAATATGGTTTTTAATATCCAAGAATGTCAATGCTCCATGCATTCTAAATTAAATAGATATAAATCCAAGCCACAGGACAAGCTAGACAGAATTGGTAAAAATGAATCATTGAATCATTAAAGTGTAGTAAATCATGGAGTGGAACTAATCCATGTACACTACTAGGATAAGATTGAGTCAGTACAAATTTAGAAGACATTCCTAGATAGAAGTGCATGTTTGACTGGATTTATGTGTGGGTAAATTGTTAAGGTTTTGGACTTTGATTTGATTGGTGACAACGTTATTGAAGTTTCCCGTACTTCAAAATCTAGTGCTGATGAATGCCGCATAGAGTGCGACAAAGCTGGAAATTGCGAGGTAAAGAAAATACTTTGTACTGTTAACAATCTTTTTCCCAACTATTGAACAAAACAATATTACACTATTAAATCCCTGAATGACCCTAATGGTTACATTTCAACCCTGAAACTAGGGTCCCAATTGTAGATTGCAGCCATAGAATTGCCAATTTTTCTGCCTAAAAGTTGCAGATTTACACCTGTGTAGACCCAGACTGTCCAAAAGTCTGACTAGGACAGTCTTTACAACTAGTTAAGTCATTCTTTTCTTTAATATAACATATTTATAGACATCAGATAAGATCCCAGCAGGGGGCTATGCAGAAAACAAGCTAGAACCAGACTAAAAATATTTCTAATTGAGATATCCTATTTTCCCACAAGTTTAAGTTTGGGTTTATGGGAGAGAGTGTCCTAAGAAAGACAGGAAGAAGAATTTGTTTCTATCTTCCTGTCTTTCTTTATATCTTTTTATCTATGTCATGGATTTATGATCTTGAACCAGATGTTAAAGTTTCAGACACCTCCCCTTTCTATGAAAAAACTGTCTTCTCCCCCATGTCTTTTAGCTGTTAGAGGATCTTAGCATGTTTGGTCAAATTTTCAGTCAAAATTAGCGAGATCTAGTTTAAGCTGTTTTGATTGCGACTTATTTTGACTATGCAACTTAAATATGCTTTTTTGTTTAACAAAATTTCATAAAAATTCCTCACAAATTTAATGAGAAATAACAAAAATGTAACAAATTATTTGCAGTTTTAAATAGATAACTGGAGTTCTAAAGTTATAATTTAATAACATATATATACTTACTGCAAATTTCCACTGACAAATTTTGCCTGTTTTTTGTAATATCTTATTTTGTTTCTTGGATTTTCTTTTAATGTTCCAAAAATATTTTTGAATTTTTTTAATTGACATTTTTTATGTCTAATAAGATACGAACAAAAATAAAAGTTTAATATTTTTTTTCCAAAACATAGATAATCCTATTTTTTTGGTTGGGAAGGGGAGGAGTAGAAGTTAAGTATATGGAAGAATATCACAGATATAGCTAGGAACTGATTTTGAAATACATGGGTTGACCACCAAGCAACCAAGAGGCAGGGGGAGGTGTAACTGTATTATTTCTTGGAAATAATTCCTAGCTAGGCGAGGGGTGTGGGGCTTTTTTTGACAATCTATCAACCAATACCAAACAATTGATATCATAATGTTATAACCATAATTTTTTATATTTCAATTACCTATAGCCAATTTCTTAGACGCTCTACCTTTGGTAGAACCATAGTCACACTACGGTTACGCTTTACCAGAGTAGTGTAGATAGATAGATACAACCTATAGTTGTACCTATGGTTAAATGAAAAAGAAATTGGCCCCTAATCTAATTGGGAATAATAAGAAAATTTAAGAAGAATGAATCATTTTTAAAAATTGAATATGGCTAAAACATAAATATTGCTAAGATTTATGAGTATTATGTGTGTATTTTGGCGTTAAAGCTTGGAGATGAACTAATATGATATGGAATGCACTGTAAAAAAAATGTTGAAGACGACCAAATCTTATAATTAAAACTAAAATGGGCATTACTTCTAGAGTGCGTTGATTTAAACCAGAAGGCAAGCAATATCTATAGAACATTAAATATTTTTTGATTTATTTATTTATCTACCAATAACAATTGGTCTCATTTTAAAATTTTCAGATGGCTGATAATTACTCTTTCTATACGTCCTATCACAACCCCACACTTAGCCTGAGCATTGTTTTAAGGTTTGAAAAAAGTGTATGGAACTATTATGTCTTTTAAATTTTAACGGAAAATATTTATAGCTGTCATTATACATGGGAATTAAGTCTTTAAAATTGCAAAGCGTTTTATTTTCCCTGGAACTCCACAATTTAAAAAAAATATCATTAGTTGAACAGTTTCTTAATATGATTAGTTGGTATCAATTTTGAACATGGATCTCATATGTAAGACATGGATTTAATCAGTCATGTGGCTGCAGCGCCCAGCCCCGTAGCCTGACTAGTTGTGGCTCTAAGCCCCCTAGCCTGTCTTTAGATTTAAAGAAAATATGTATTTCCGCTTAAATATGCAATATTTGCCCAAGACATACTTTTTTGATTTTCCTAAATACTATTCCTAACTCATCACATAAAGCCATCTTAGGCCAGTTTGACCCAGAGATGTGTTGCAGGCAACATACAAACCAATTTACGGGCTGTTGTAAACTCTGAGCTTTATTTATCTACAGCAGAATTTCAAACGCAATAATTGACTCTCTTAGTTCATATTTATTAATCTAAGTTTACTGATTCCATATTATATATTTAGGATATTAATATTCTGGACTGAACTCGACTTCCATGGCTAAGAGTTGTAACAGCTCCAGCCGCTGCTCCAAGATGAGAGACATATTGGTGACAAGCGCCAATTCCTGTTTGAGATGATGCTCCTCCTCGCTGTATAGCATTCCACCATTGTTCTCAAATGCTTCTATTATTACTAGGCGTAACTCCTGCCATATAGCATCAACCCGGCCCCGCACCTTCTGCCTATTCTCCTTCACCAAGTCCACCTGTCCCTTGTCTGGTTGCAGGCCCAGTGCTCTCCACATCTTGGTGAACTTGTCTTCTTCTTCTCCGACATCTTCCAGGTTAGGAACCTCTTCATCATCCCCCTGCTGGGACTTCCTCTCCTCTGCTCCTATTCCATCCAGTTCATCTCTCTCATCATCTGCTCCATACTCTCCCTCATCTCCGGAGCTCTCGGACACCTCTGCAGCAGTGAGGGCGGGAACACCTGTTTCCAATTCCTCAGTTTCATCGTCTGAGGGTGGAACTGTGACTATCTCTATGGATGCAGTCACTATCTCAGTAGAGCTATCAGAGATGAACAGTGTCTCTAACTCTAATTCGC